ATGAGCATTTAGTTCCACGATTTAATTAAATAAGATTTATGGATAACATTGAAGCCAGAGCGAGAGCAAGTCAGTTAAATATATACATATAGCATGTACTCAGTTGCAGAGTCCAAAGACTCTCAAAAAAGAAAAACTCGTATCGTCGCTTGCTTTGGCTGTGCGTTCAGATATATACAGCTATATAGCCGACATTTCCACTCCTCTCCTCGTAGGCGCACATTCGGTATACCCCTTCCACGCGTCTCCAAAATGTGCGCCTATATGGACATTTCCACGCGAATCCACTCTTCTCATACCCCTACCGTGCTGCTCAAATAAAAAAAAAAATGTGCGCCTGGTTCGGCCGCTTGGCCGCGGCGGGGCGCTCGAACCACTGGAAAAAAGTGGGTACACTCCGTAGCATGGCAGTCAGCAATCTCCCTACTAATCTCTGGTAAGACAGAGATATAAGGATAGAGTGCGCTAATTATTATAATTATATTAATGTACGTAAATAATTATACTAGTGTAAGTAAGGGGAAGTAATACGGTAAAAGAAAGAGATGGTCGCCGAGTGTCTTCTCGATCTCTTCTAGCTGAACGCTGTGATTGGCTGCTGCTCAAGGGGGTATTCTGGCCGTCAGCGGCAGTTACTGACATTTGTTATTGCCTCTTGAGCATCAGCCGTTTACAGCGCTCGGGTAGCAAAATACAGAGAGGACACTTGGCAACCATCTCTTTCGTTTACCGTATCGCTGTATTCAGCCTCTAGCGCACTCTATCCTTATCTCTATGGTGTAATATATGCAAGTGGTCCTATCAGGCTTAATTTTTGTGTTGCTGTTTCATTCAAAGATTTTACAAATAACGAAATGAGAACCATATACATAATTTCACCAAACTATAGTGTTGGCTAATACTATATATCCAGTGTTGGGTAAGGAGGATGTGATTTTGCATTTTTATCACTAGGACCTATATATAGCTACAGATCCTAGTGAGAAAAATGCAAAAGCTGAATATGAGAGGGGAGGAGGCCAGTGGTTTTCCCCAAATATAACTGGAAAAAATTGTGGGAAATTTAAATGGGCTATGTGGTGCAAATACCCAGAAAACTCGACACAATTACATGCACAATAACTTTATAAACTAATCCCAAGCTATTTAACCCAACAACCCAATGCGCCAATAAGCAGCCTCATGAGTTTAAATAAATGATGAAATTTATTAAATAACAAAGCAAGCGCTAATCCCCACTCAAACCAAGGCACTGACTGGTTACTTTGATTATTTATGATTGATAAAATAATACCGCAAGCGCCTATCCCCACACAATAAGGGGCACCTACTAGTTGCTTTAATTATTTATGATTGATAAAATAATACCGCAAGCGCCTATCCCCACACATCCGAGGGCACTAACTGGTAGCTTACTTATTTACTATAAATAAAATTATACTGCAAGTGCCTATCCCCACACAACCAGAAGCACTTCCTGGTCACTTACTTAAATTACTATAAATAAAATAATAACGCAAGCGCCTATCCCCACACAACTGGGGACCCTAACTGGTCACTTATTTACGCTACAATAAGTAAAATAATAACACAGGCGCATATCCCCTTAGAAACAGGGGCACTTACAGCTCGCTTACTTAAATTACTATAAATAAAATAATAACGCAAGCACTTATTCCCTTACAACCAGGGAAGCTTACTGGTCACTTACTTAAATTACTATAAATAATATAATACCGCAAGCGCCTATCCCCACACAGCCGGGGGCACTTACTGGTCGCTTACTTATTTACTATAAATAAAATAATAACGCAAGCACCTATCCCCTTACAACCAGGGGAGCTTACTGATCACTTACTTAAATTACTATAAATAAAATAATAACGCAAGCGCCTATCCCCACACAACCAGGGGCACTTACTGGTTGCTTACTTAAATTGCTATAAATAAAATTATAATGCAAGAGCTTATTCCAACATGACCCAGGGCGCCTACTGGTCTGCTTTGATTATTTACAATAAATAGAATAATGTGAACGCTAACCCCCACATGACCCGAGAGGCTTGAATTATTTGGATAGGCACGTGCATTATTACTTCATTTATAGTAAATTAAGTAAGCAAACAGAAAGCTCCCACAGTTGTGAGGGGATAGGCGCTTACGTTATCATTTTATTTATAGAAAATTAAGTAAGCGACCAGGAAGTGCCCCTAGTTGTGTGGGAATAGGCGCTTGCAGTATTATTTTGTTAATTATAAATAATAAAAGCAACCACTAAGTTAGCAAATAAAAACAGCTCCCCTGGTTGTGTGGGCATTGGCGCTTGCGTTATTATTTTATTTATAGTAATTTAAGTGAGCGACCAGTAAGTGCCCCTGGTTGTGCGGTGATATGCGCTTGCGGTGTTATTTTATTTATAGTAAATTAAGTAAGCAACCAGCAAGTGCCCCTGGTTGTGCGGTGATATGCGCTTGCGGTGTTATTTTATTTATAGTAAATTAAGTAAGCAACCAGCAAGTGCCCCTGGTTGTGCGGTGATATGCGCTTGCGGTGTTATTTTATTTATAGTAAATTAAGTAAGCAACCAGCAAGTGCCCCTGGTTGTGCGGTGATATGCGCTTGCGGTGTTATTTTATTTATAGTAAATTAAGTAAGCAACCAGCAAGTGCCCCTGGTTGTGCGGTGATATGCGCTTGCGGTGTTATTTTATTTATAGTAAATTAAGTAAGCAACCAGCAAGTGCCCCTGGTTGTGCGGTGATATGCGCTTGCGGTGTTATTTTATTTATAGTAAATTAAGTAAGCAACCAGCAAGTGCCCCTGGTTGTGCGGTGATATGCGCTTGCGGTGTTATTTTATTTATAGTAAATTAAGTAAGCAACCAGCAAGTGCCCCTGGTTGTGCGGTGATATGCGCTTGCGGTGTTATTTTATTTATAGTAAATTAAGTAAGCAACCAGCAAGTGCCCCTGGTTGTGCGGTGATATGCGCTTGCGGTGTTATTTTATTTATAGTAAATTAAGTAAGCAACCAGCAAGTGCCCCTGGTTGTGCGGTGATATGCGCTTGCGGTGTTATTTTATTTATAGTAAATTAAGTAAGCAACCAGCAAGTGCCCCTGGTTGTGCGGTGATATGCGCTTGCGGTGTTATTTTATTTATAGTAAATTAAGTAAGCAACCAGCAAGTGCCCCTGGTTGTGCGGTGATATGCGCTTGCGGTGTTATTTTATTTATAGTAAATTAAGTAAGCAACCAGCAAGTGCCCNAGTAATTTAAGTAAGTGACCAGTAATTGCCCCTGGTAGTGTTGGGATATGCGCATGCGGTATTATTTTATCCATCATAAAAAATTAAAGTGAGTCCCTGGTTGTCTGGGGATAGATGCTTGCGTTATTATTTTATTTATAGTAATTTAAATAAGCAACCAGTAAGTGCCCCTGGTTGTTTGGGGATAGGCGCTTGCGGTATTATTATATTTATAGTAAATAAGTAAGCGACCAGTAAGTGCCCCCGGCTGTGTGGGTATTGGCGCTTTTGTTATCATTTTATTAATCATAAATAATTCAAGCAACTAGTAAGTGCCTTGGGTCGTGTGGGGATTGGCGCTTGCTTTGGTAATTGATAAATTTTATCATTTATTCAAACTCATGAGGCTGCTTATTGGCCCATTGGGTTAAATAGTTTGGGATTATATCAAGTTATTGTGCATTTAATTGTGTCGAGTCGTCTGGGTATTTGCACCACATAGCCAATTTTAATTTTCCACAATTTTGCCAGTCACATTTGGGGAGAACCACTGGCCTCCCTCCCCCCTCCTATTCAGCTTTTGCATTTTTCTCACTAGGACTTGTAGCTATATATAGGTCCTAGTGATAAAAATGCAAAATCATATCCTTCTCACCCAACACTGTACCTATATATCGCGTACCGTTTCGCGTACGCTTTATTACTATTAGGCGTATACACAGACTTATACAGTGATACTACTAGTGTTGGCGAACACCGGTTTAATATTAGCGAAAGTAATAGTATGTCATTTGCTTTAAAAAATATTCATTTAGCCACTTAAATCAACTCGCTCTAAGATTTATACAGGCTTTCGCCATTATTTGGTCCACTTTATATTGTTGAGGCAGTTATACAGTTTTTCACACAAAATTTGTTGCCCATCTTAATTAGTAAATATGCAAATCAGTTAATACACATTTCAGTATAATTTTCCAATTACATTCATTATTTCTATTTCTCTGTTTCAGTGCTTACTGGCTCCAGGTGCTCGTCTGCTTGGTCCTAGTTTCTTATTGCGACACCTGGTGTCAGAAAGCGGAAATGACACAAAATGTTCTCAAAAATTTACTGCAGGCATTAGGGACAATAAGACCACCTGTTTTTCTTACACCGTGGCCAGGACTGAAACACAGCGCTCGTTTTAGTCCATCTTGGTTCTTCAACGCAAGCTCGAAATTAATACTCTTCTTTTCATTCATCCACGATTCTGGATTAAAAATCCTAATAATGGTAAGTTTTTGATTAAGCAGCAAGTGATGTTATTGTTAATTACATCAATCTCAAATGTCATCAGTCTTTATCGTACGTCTTCGTGTCGCGTAGTAGTCTCAGTCACGTGCTTGACTTTAAGTGATGGATTCTCTTTAAATGAAGACGATTACATAACCCGTTTAACCTAAAAAAATTATGGCTACTCCTTATTTAGTTAGAAAGTAAGGTTTTAGTAAACAAGCACTACATTAATACTCCAGTAAATTAAAAGAAAGTTGCGTAATAACTATATACGTAGCTTCAGTTAGTACAAATAAAATGTCATTGTAACACTTTGATATGTCGTGTGACATTATAGTTGCCCATATTTCTAAAATGATCACAATTACTTTACACGTAAGTTAATATTTATGCTTTTTTAATGTAGAAGAAAAAATTCATTTTCTAAAACAATTTCAACACAAATATGGCAATTAACAATTTTTAAAACCTTTACAACTACAGTCTTGTTTTATAAAAATAATTGGTGTGATGCACAGTATTAGGCTAGTGGAATACAGTGCACTTTAGTGAAAAATGCAAGCATCATTTCATTATGAGTATTATTTACCACACTTAAAACTAGTTCCAAATTTTACTTAATAATCTATCATGATTTTATAATACTCATTTCATAATGTAGAATATTGAAACATTTTTCTTATAAAAATTTTGTTTATTGCAGGCATCTGCAGCTATTGCCAAAAAGTTGATTCCACTCTTTGACAGAGTACTTATTCAAAGAGCAGAAGCGATTACTAAAACCAAAGGTGGTATAATGATTCCTGAAAAAGCCCAAGGAAAAATTCTTAGGGGTACTGTTATAGCGATTGGTCCAGGGTCAAGAAACGATGTAAGTTTCCTGACAATCTTCTAAAATTTGCTTAGAAATAGTCATTTATCAATCATTTACTATAATTTTTTTAGAGAGGAGAACATATTCCACCAACCATCAAAGTTGGAGATTTAGTTTTGCTTCCTGAATACGGTGGAACCAAAGTTGAACTTGAAGACAATAAGGAATTCCATTTATTTCGTGAATCTGATATTTTAGCAAAACTAGATGAATGAAGTTCTCTGATAAAGTATAATCTTACTTTTTTTGCTTAATTTTAAAACAAAAATATGTAAAGTGTGTTTTCAATAAAATTTTTTTTAATTTAATTTACCACATTAATAAAATTGCAAGTAAATGTGTGTAATACACTTCCAAACTCTAACACTATGGCACAGTTTTTATTAAAATGTATAATTCATTTATTAAAAAAAAATATTTTTATTTGTCAGTAGTAAAAGCTTTATAAAAATGTGTGAGAATTAATGTATTAGAACAAATCATTACTTAAGTTTGATACTTTTTGAAATACTAGCTTTAATACCAGACTTTTCTCCTGTGTACCTTTTAGTTTTTTCTCTTATTTCTCTGACCTAGAAAGATTACTGTTATTAGAATAAATGTTAGTTATAATGAGTTATGTGATGAGTAAAAAAACTTACAGCTCCTTTTCTAGAAATTTTAGCTTTACGATATTTGTTTCTGTGTCTGACTCTGGGATTTCGTAATTCCTTTTTTCTATATGGTGTTAATCCTCTATTTTTTTCCATTTTCTGTGTAATGCCTCGTTTTTCTCCATCAAATCCGCTGATCTCCATTGCTTCGTTGAATACAATGGTACTAAAATCAGGATCCTCATATGTAGAATTGCTTGGCTTATATTTTACAAACAATCTATTTTCAATCGCGTTCTCAACAATTGTATAATTATTTTCTATATTCTCACTTAGGTTTTTAGATGTATTTTTATTATTTGCATATCTCTCGATGGTCTGTTTGAATTGGTTAAAAGAGCAATTATTACGATTTGCTTGTAAAACTCTTGTGATATATTGCAAGAGATCTTGATTATTTTCTATTTTAGACAGTAAATCTCGATATTGTGCCAATCTCTTTATGATAGGATGTGTAACTGCAAAATCTTGTTTGGATTTCAAAACAAGATAGAATGAGATATTTGTGCAATAATGCAATATTATATCATATTTAACTTTGATGAATTTTGAAACCAAGGTATTATTATAATTAGGGTCGTTGAAAAAGCTCAAAAATGGTTCTAATGCTGTTTTTGCTTCGGCCAATCTTTCTGAAATAAAGATAAATACATTACATCATATTTTAATGCAGTTCAATAATGATGAAACTAATAGTAGTATTATAGTTTTTTTTTTTTTTTAGAGGGAAGGGAAATGCCTTGATGCACACCGCAAAGACAGTCGAAGTGTGGGACTCAAAGGATTTTTTTTTGTTAAACCACTACTTAATATCCACTTAAACCCCCCTTGCCGCGTGGCTTTAAATCAATCATTGGAACCGTGTCAGCATTACTTCAAGGTAGGGTCTTCGGTATATCATTGTATATCACAGCATTCGCAAAAGAGCTCGCCAACAGTTGCTAGAGGTGCCGATTCTGAAAAGGACTCAGGGTCCCTGAGAACCATCACCCTTCTCTAGCCCTCTTTCGTAGGCTACATTAATTGCAAGCGCAACTATGTGCTTGAGGCTTTCCATAGGTGCGGTAACTAAACGTCCTAAGCGCAGTGTGGGTCAGCAGAGACTCCTCTGTGGAGCCTTGCTTCCATGTTTATGTCTGACTTAGGTCTCTTTTCTAATGGTTACACCTGCCACACCGGAATCACAGCTTATAGATCTATCTATCCCTTTGCATTATGACGCGACATGTCCAATACTCCTCGCAGAGGAAGTATCTAGTCACGTGTTTAATATCCTTTTAACACGGCCAGAGATAAATCCAACTTTAATCTTGCCTACCTGCTCTGCTATTTACGCTACCACCAATATTTGTCCTAGAGCATTTGCTAGGAGTTGGACCTTCACGTCTTTATTAAGGTTTCCAATGACGTTCTTAACGGATTTCTTATTTCTTAAAAATACATCCAAATCTCGGCTCTCAAGCGTACCCGAGAGGAAATAGTTTCTGAGTTATACATTGCAACCAACTGCATCCAACTAGGATAAACAGAGCCAAACTGTGGCCAATTTGAACATTTGGTACAGTTTGGCTTATTATAGCACAGTTTACTTCAAAACAGTGCAGTTTGACTCAGTGTGGCCTAGATTACAGTATCGAATTATACAACGTTAGACTTAAACTTTATTATTTTAGTTTGTACTCGTGCAGCATATAGTACAACTCAGTTTAGAAAAATAAAGCATAATTCGACTCATACATAGGCTCAGCCTGCATTAGTTAGGCTCAGATTGGCGCAATTACTTAAGCGCAGTTGTTCCAATGAATTATTATTGTGCAGACATGCTCAGTTGCAAGATAAAACCCGGATTTCCAGCCGTTTTCTAAGTGATTTAAATAAATTTCAAGGGCAATTTAAATTAATTTTTTATTCAATCAAGGGCAGTCCACATTGATTTTCTAGAAAATTAAGGTAGATGACGCGATCCTTGCGGATCTTCTCGTTAATCCAGTTAAGTTCTTGAAGTTGAAGTGATTATGCGTCCGTTTGGTAACTTTCATAAAAAAAGTCAAGTTTAAGCGTTATGACTTATTTAGTGTCGTTTTATTAACTTTTACTTATTATATTTTAATACAAATGAATTATGCGTACACTATTGATGTGAAGTCGATGGATTATGTAAAGTGTGTTGATAATCAACAAAAACTATTTGTATCAACTATAAATTATTCAGATTTATGTTGGCTATGTATATTAAGTAAAACAAAGGATAAAATTTTATTATAACAATTTCTCGAGATGCGTTATAATTGGTCATATTTATGCACTTGAACATGCTTGCACAATGAATACATGTAAAATACGCGTATAACGAATTATGGCTTTTATTCTTTAAACATTTCACTGCTAATAAAAAGCAGCTGATTTATCAGCTGATTTCTGATGCCAAATCGTCAGCTGATTTTTCGACTGTGCAAAAAAATACAAGTCCTATCAAAGCAAAAAATACAAGTCCCAAAGGAAAAAATTTTTTTTTTGCCATTATCAAAACTATGCATTCTGGAACGCTTACAGGAGAGTGAGGGATAAAGGGGAAAATTAGATCCGTGATCTGAGAAAAGTTAAATTAGCTGATTTGTGATGCCAAATTATCATCAGATTTTTGTATATTATCTTTTCTTCTTTCTAAACTTTTTTTACAAACAATCATTATTTATTTGTATCAACAATACGAAGCAAATAAGTAAGTTGATAACAATACTATAGAATTAATATTTGAAAAAAGAAATCCTAGTACCTAAATACGAAAAAAACACAAGTCCCAATCAAAAAAATGAGAACATTGTGTTTTCAGTTATTTTTAGTTACTTGCGAATACTTAAATTTATAATTTAAAAAAGATTATACATTGTGAAAATTAAAAGTTCTGTGATTACCAAAAAATACAAGTCCCAGAGAGTGTGAAGAATTACAATCCGTGATAAAAAAGTAAAATTTTTTATGAAACAATATGAGTTTTTAGGCATTTAATGTATGTTACAAATGTTCCAAAATGTGAATTTTACGAATATTTAAAAATGTGATGAAATGGATGCGTTTCGAAAAACTTATAGTTGATTAAAACAGTCCAAAACACTTTTTTTTTTTTTGCACTTCGAAGTATACTTACATTTTTTTTCGAGCAGAAAAATACAAGTGCCCTCAACAAAACATTAAAATTTTTATGATAAAATGTGTGCCTTCTGGGGAGTTTTAAGTCAATTAAAATCGTCCAAAAAAGTAATTTTTTCCACACTTTGAAAATTTTTTTCTAAGTTTAAGTCGAGTAATAAAATACAACTCCTAGCAGCGCGAAAAAACATTAGTCTCGACTAAAAAAATCCAAAATTTTTGCTGTGAATCGTGTTTGATCTGGGAAGTTTTAAGTTGATTAAAACGGTCGAGAAGAGTATTTATTCGATCTTTGAAGATTACAACTTTTGTTAAAATGCAAGTTGTGTATGATTAAAATTTTAATTTTTTTTATTAGGACTTGTGATTTTTTACCCTTGTAGGATCTGTTATTTTTCTTGATTACAAAACTTGTCAAACTTTTTTCATCAAAATACAAAAAAATAACCCTTTTATAGTTTTTATAGTAGATTTTAAATGCCTTAAAACGTATATTCTGTATACTATCAAAATCATAATTTTTTTATCAGGACTGCACTCGTGGAACTTGTATTTTTACGTGGTCGTGAAAGTTGTTTATTGTTTAGAATATAATCCATAAAATTATCCGAAAATACCCGCTTTAGAACTTATATAATCGTCTTAAAAGATATAAAAATACATGCTTTATATTATGAAAATCCTGTCCTTTTTATCGAAAATTGAAACTCTTTGCATCTGTGGCACTTTTAATTTTCGTAGTGTCTATTCGCACCGTATATCTGTAGCGATTGTTATCGCCTACTTGAGGGAGAAAAAGGTGTTTCGTCCCGAGAGCACGCCAGGACTCATCAGTAAGGCTGATGACGTGCTCCCTGCCTTAGACACAGGAGAGGTGTGGGCTCAGATTGACTCGATCGCGCTTATATACTAATCGTGCGGGAATTTCACCGCTTGACGGGAGATAATTATTAGGGGCTTGGCCACCTGGCGAGTAGAGCCTGAAGCACGAGAGACGTGAGACGCCACATCACTCCCCGCCCAGTCACGATGGGAGGAAGTGACGATATGAGTGTCGAGGGTGTGAAGGCGTGAGAGGGAGAAAGATGTTGAGAAGTCTCGTTGAATCTCCGGGTCATCCACGCTCCGTTGCGAGAGATGCGGGGCATGTTGCCGTGCGTGCACGAGTTGTGCGATGTGCGAAAATATGTGCGTCGTTGAGCGAAGTGTGTGGGATTAGCTGCGTTGCGTGTACCCAGCGTGGAGGATGCGGAGATGCGTGATAGTATATCAGAAGGTTGCAGCATTTTGCTTGTTCGTTGTCGGGGTCACCACTGTAGCGATTGTTATCGCCTACTTGAG